GTGTGCTAATAGTTTGTATTGATGTTAATTCTATTGGTTTCTGGTCTCAAATACTCTTACTTGAGATCAATACAAAGCTAGAAACTAGTTGCGCATCCATTTTTTCTTACTTATCCTGAGAATTACATATGCAAATTTGCTGAATTTCAAAAATGATAAAGGTAAGAAAATAAAATCTCTGATTGGTGAAGCATACTACAACTATCAGGTGAGAAAATATGCTACAGACAGGAATATTTATTAAACGTGAAAAGGTTATTATTACATTTATCTGGTACAACTAATAGATGTGCTCCATTGGTAGCATATTTAGTAATTTTCTCATACTTATAGCAAATATCAGTGATTTTATACACATGCAGACCAAAACACACAATCAAGATGCGATCATGTTACTCAACTAATTTTATTTCGGTCACATCTACTCAGAGATATACTCTACAGGCTACCTCGACCAGTGGCGAAGCGTCCATGTAACCATTGTTACCATTGGTAACAGTTAAAAATCTTAAAAATAAATATTTTATGACTAAGTACTGTGAAATAATTTCATTTATTTGTTTACCAACAGCGATATGTAATAGTAATTCAGTAAATAGCAAATTAGCACCACGAAAATAATGCGCCCTATAGTGTCTAGGTTTTGCGAACACGATAAAGCTGACACGCCTCGACTTGGTTGTCAGTTGTTACCATTTTCATTTATGGATACACTTGGTAGTCCGTCGGGGACCGCTGGTATAGTGGATACCAAATAAAACCCGATGCACGTCATCGATCTGGAGCTGTGCGCTGTTGCCAGAATTTGCACATTTTCTTTTAAGCAAATAAATTTAATAAAATAAATTGTTTATATATACCTACCATTTACTATAATACCATTATATTAAAAATAAATAAACTTGTTGTAAAATTAAATTCCTTTCTGAATAAAAACAGCTGATTTCGGTAGATATTCAATGATATGAGCTCTTTATACCGATTGTTAAGTTGTTTTGGCATTTTGGATACTTTACACCACTTCACAGTAACTGTTGTTCTGAAAAGAACAATTTTTAATTGGCAAGGCAACGATTCAAAGCTCAAATAGCGCAAAACTCGCAAACTAAACAATAAAGAACTAATAGTAGACAGTCTACAACAAAAGGACAATGGCAACTGATGTCAACAAATGAGAAGTGGCAACCTCACATTTCTCTACACGGCACTACCAACCGAATCGAGACGGGGAAATTTAAACTTCAAGTAGAAAAGTCACATTGAATGTAGTCAACTGTTGGTAACCATGATTTTTATGAATGACATCACCTATGACGTGCATCGGATTTTATTTGGTATCCACTATATCTGATCGCGGCCGCCCGAGTGCGTGGGGCGCTGCGACTATTAAGGTGCGTATACATATGCGAGCCGAGCGGTTCGCGAGCCGCTTGTGAGCAGCTCGTGAGCCGCTCGCGACGAACCGCGGCCTGTCGGTTTTTTCGACGAACACAAAGGAATTCGCAGTGCATATTGGGACGTGTTTAGACAAGGTTCGTTGTTTTTCTTTAGCTCGCGAGCGAACTTTATTTTTCTTCAATAAAGTTATGGATTCATGGTCGGAAGAAAAAATATTATGTCTGATAAACGTTTATAAAATCAAAACGTTATTATGGGATCCTAAAAATGAAAATCACTTCAAAAAAAATTTGAAAGAGGACGCTTGGCGGGAAATTGCGGATGAAATGGAAACCACTGCTGAACAGTGCAAAAAGAAAATAATAAGCCTCTTAGCTTCTTTCCGCCGGGAGAAAAATAAAACAAAGCAGGGGACTAGTACAGGAAAAGGTAAATAAATGGAATAATAAGATAAATTAGTTGTGTTTTATTTAAATAATAATACAAAATATTTTTGCTAATACTAATTTAATTTTTAATTCAACTAAATAATATGTTTTTAATTAACTTAGTTCACTTGCCGTATATAATTTTAATCTCGATTTTAACTTTCAGGAAGAGATGAAGTTTATTGCAGCAGATGGTTTGCCTTTGAAGCATTTAGGTTTTTAGAAGACAGAGATTTGCCACGAAAAAGACTTGCTACGGTAAGTAATTATTGTTATAAATTCAAGCATATTGGTCCTGCCATTCTAGAACTCCATTATTTATAAAATAATTAGCGATTTCATCTCTAACTTTTGTACAATAGTTTGTGGGTATTCGAGGAATATTTCGTATAGGTACCATAGACGTCATATCTCCTTCATTTCTCCATGATCCCTCAGTTAAATTTCCATTAACTTCATAGTCTAATGTGCCAAAAGGGGTATACATATTTGGTGAGTGTTTTCTGAGATAATTATGCAAAAGAATGACTGTCATTATAACCCACTCTGCTTTTGCAGGCTCTAAGAGCATTGGTTTTCTTAACACCCTAAACACTGCACTTGATATACCGAATGCGTTTTCAACTATGCGACGACCCCTACTCAAACGATAATTGAAAATTCGTTGAGGAGTTCCTTTTGGAAAGTCCCCAGTATAGGGCTTCATGAGATTTTCGCTTAAAGCAAATGCGCTATCGCCGGCAAAAAAATACGGTATTTGCATAGAACATCCTTCTAGTTCTTCTGGTGTTGGAAGTCCTAGTCTGTTTTCTGTAAGCTGCTGATATAATTTGCTTGCCTTAAAAACCCCCCCATCAGAAATTCTTCCTTGGCAGCCTACGTCAGCAAACATAAAGTTATAATCACCATCAACCAGTGCGAAAAGCACAATACTAAAATTGGATTTATAATTGAGGAATTCGGTACCCGATTTCACTGGTGCTTGTAAAACAACGTGTCTTCCATCTAGGGCACCAACACAATGAGGAAGGTTCCAACGAGATTCAAATATCTTGCTAACTTGTTTCCAAGCTGTGGGAGTCTTAGATAGCTGAAATGAAATAAAAATTATTAATTTTGACCTGTTTTATTCATTATTAGCTTATCTTAATAATTTATTGATTTAATATCATTTTTTGCGCAACTTCTTTGGTGTATTTTGGAATAAGATAAAACCACCCTTCTCAAATAATAAAAAAAGGAATCGCTAATACTATGTTAACACAATTTCATTTCAAAATTTCATTATTTATAAACTACATATAAAGTTACTGAAAATGTATTTAATAGGAGCTGGATGATGTTAACGAAGCTGCCCTATCTTCCGAACAAATGGAACAAGAAGCGATACCAGAGACACCTACGCTACCATGTACCTCCAAATCTACAAAGCGATCAAAAACAAAACAAGATAATGTTTCCTCTCCAATAATGAGTGATGCATTTCAGATTTTGAAGAATGCTGCGAAAAAAATGGACAAAGAGCCAACTCAACCCAGTGAAATAGATTTATTTTTTAATTTTGTTGCTGCAAAGGTTCAAAAATACCCCCCTCCAATACAACAGACAATTCAACATGCCGTTTTTGACCTTATTATTAAAGCTGATAGAGGATTTCTTAATCCGACTTCAATTCAATCTGATGATTCTCAACCTACTTCCTACATACAGTCACAAGCTACCAATCATATCAATTCACAACCTACTTCTTCGATGTATTCCCAACCTACTTCACATAATCTATATTCTCAATCTTCTGAAACTTATTATTCACAACCTCTGCAAGTAATAACCGTTCCTGCAACTTCTGAACCATCATTGTCCAACCCATCATCGCTACAATCACCTGTTTCGTCACTCACATCAGAAAATTATGAAGATTTTGTGTAACGTTTTTGAGTCCTATTTTTTGTTTGTTAACTTAGTGGTGGAAATTACTTTAAAGTGAAGAAAAATATATTTTTGAATTACACACAGGCCTTTAATTTATATATTAATGTTGTTACCTTGATATATCCCTGGAATTCCTTAATTAGTGCAGCACAAACTTGGGGTACTACACGCCCAATCGACTGCTTGGAAATTCTGAATAGATACTGAAGGTTAGTATATGAATCTCCCGTGGCAAGAAACCGAAGTGTTACGGCTAACCTAGAATATTAATTTAAAAAAATTGTTAAAAAACAAAGCTACCTGTCCACGGTACACCGACTTACCTATCTTGGGCAGAGATTGGAGTACGAAAATAAGTCTCCTGTTTTGAAATATGGGGTCCAATCCTTTGCAGCAGATTCTCAAAGTCAGTAGGTGTCATTCGAGTGAAATTTTTATACTGTCCGCTTATTTCTTGCGAATTTAGGTCCATTAAAATTCCCGTACCACTGCGTTTCTTGAATAAATTAGTACGCCACCAACGTCGTTGTCTTCTCTTTTTTTATTTACATCAGCCATTACTAAAACTGCAGCACTAATCACTAAAATAGTATAATTTTCGTTTCGCGAAGCCATACTGCATTTGTCGACTGCGATGTTTGTTTGCGTTTGGTGCGCTGAATCTGTGGATCGCTGGAGGTTCGCGGAAAAAATCATTTCAACGAACCACCATCGAGCGGCTCACAAGCGGCTCGCGAACCGCTCGGCTCGCATATGTATACGCACCTTTAGGTATGTGGCCTCTTTACCATTTTTTGATTTGGTTACTCACTTGTCACTCTTCAGTAGCCGTTTTGTTTACCGGCTGTAGTGTGCGTGTAATTAAAGATGGATGAGTGTTGCTGCGTAATCGATCAACTATTTGTAAAGTCATTTTGCTTGGATAATTTTTAAGAAAAAAAGGAGATCATTGAAAATGGAAGACCAACACCTATTTTAGGTAATTGGTTATGTTGTTGCAACTGACCTCGACATTCTGATAGATGACGCTTTTGGTGACACTCACAGCGCACATAGCGCGCAAACGCGGAATGAACTACTTGCGCACGAGGAACTACCTAGTCAGCAGGTTAACATTTTGTCAGTCCTTTTTACGAAACAACTCAAATTATGTTTGTCTTAAACTATAATGAAGTACACTTTACCGATAAGGATACTAATAAAGAAGTAACTTCCAAGACCACCTAAAAGATAATAATAATAATGAGCGACAGTATCCTTCACAACAAATGGAGAAGGTTAGTTTCAGCGATATTCTTATACTCCTTCCTTTTTGGGGGGAAAAGGGGGCGGATACAAAGAAGATATATTTGAATCATGAGTACTCGTACAAGCTCTTTCACCTACTTTGACGCTTGCGCGTAAACTTACGCATTGCTTACATCAAAATGTAGACAATTAAAGTCTAACAGTAAACGCCCATTATAGCTGCTAATTTTTGGGAGCTGCTTTCGAACAGATAACAAAATACAGTCAAACATTTAGAACGGGTGTGTCTTTTAATTTTAGGCAGAAAGCGTTCGGATCCTTGATACACCTTATATCCATATTTTTTATTCCAAGGTTCATGGAAGCCGTATAAGTAACGAAATAACGCAAGTCTTGTGACATCGATGAAGAGGAAAGGCCACATGCCGTTGCACTTGAACGGGTAATGCGTAAAAATCTGGTGCGGTTCTTTGAAACAAGATCATTTGTGATTCATTATTTGTTTTTTAATTGCTATGAGTGATCTGTTTGCCAAGAAAAAATGGCGTCAAGTAGTTTGACTCTACACATCTCGCGCAATGCTGTCATCAGCTCATAAAAGACTATGTTCGGCACAGGTTAGCACTTCTGAGAAAAAAGTTAGTTACAAACATGTACCGCAAAAAAATCAAGTTAACCAAGACACTCAAACAGGCCCATTCAATTAGTCCGCACCCATTTGACAATGTTGCAATCTAGACATTTAGGTTCCTCTTCTACTAGTGGCCCGCTACACGGGTAACTTCCCTATCCTGTGTAAAATTAAGATATAACTGATACTCGTCCTACTTGGATTGCTTTTTATGGATTTCGTTACCGATCTTGCAAGTATTTAAAAAAATAAGGAATTGATAAATGAACTTCTTTGTATACAAGATTGAGGACTGCTACCGGATTATATGAAAAAAGAACATGTACGTTTAGTTTTTTATACTCGTGCAAATCAAAAATACCAAAAAGAGAAGTCCCTTCCGGTTGGAGATCGAACTCCATAGCGACTGCAATATATTGGCTATCAACAGGATGCCTATACAGGGTGTTTTCAAGGTTAAGTCATTTATTTTAACAGCTTGTAGAACTCGTCAATAGAAATTGATACACCAAAAATTACCTATATAAAGGTTCCATCTATTCCGAAACTGATTATTTAGGTGTAGATGTTCATGAACTTCTTCTCTAAAATGTGGTAGGGGCCTATCATGTAGGAACCACATATTCTGTCTCACATTTAGAGGAACATCTAATACTTGTGACAGATTGGGTCGAAGAAAATCTGAAGAAATTTTACCGGTCAGTAGCCACTGGAGAAATTCAACTCTTCTAGGATGATATTCAGATCAGACAAAGATAATGCTGTTCTTGTCGTGTTGTCTTCCACACTTTACTATGGGAAACTTCAACTAGAGCTGCTATAGCTCTAGTACTCATTGTTGAGTCGTCTTCGACCATTTTAAAATATCTTCTCAATTTGTAACATTTCTGGTTGAGCAGATCTTCCAGCGTGACCTCCTCGTTGTTCTTTTAAAGATCCTGTGTCACAGAGTCAAATAACTAAATTTACAAACATCCTTGGAGCGGATCATTTCTTAAAGAAAACCTTTCCGCATACAACCTGCATGCTGCAGCTGCATTTTGTTTGCACTCTCCTATGTTAGTAACGTGTCCACTAGTTCATTGTTTTCGTAAACATGGGCCATTTTTTCGCACAAAATAATTGAACAACTGAAATTATAGGCACTATTAAAAGACTGATATAACTGATCGAACCAACATCTCGTACTCAAAACCGTACAAACAAAGTTTGCCAAATTTAGATAAACTATAAGAGTAGTAAACAAAAAACGCTAAGATTTTATACGGCAGTGGTCGAGAATATCAAAAAATCTATGTAATAATCTTTTACTATTTCTTTCATTATGAAAATTTTATATAGGTTATTTTTGGTATATCAACTCTTTTTGACGAGTTTTACAAGCACTTAAAATAAATGACTCAACTTTTAAAACACCCTATATTTCGCCCATACACACTGTATTCAATCAAGTGTTTACTCATACGTGAATGACTGGTTTGAATGAAAATCGGTCATTGTGACTTAAGTACAATAGTAAGGCCTCGTTGAGTTTTTGAATGAATCATGATGAATACAATAAATATGTAGTACTTTGTTTTATGTACAATCGGTAAGTATCGCAGCGAATCACTCCTTAAGGTTAGTTTAATGCAAAACAGCAATTTAAAAAAAATGTTACATGGCACCTTTATCCACTTGTGTCTTCAATTATACACCTAAACCTTTCTCACGAATCCGTCTGTCCACTGGTGAAAACTATATCAAAATCCGTTGGATAGTTTTTATCGCGTTCAAACAGACGCGGTGAGGAACTTTATTTTTCATGGCGCTGCGTGCGGGGTTGAAATACATAAATCAAATTCAAGCGAATAACCAAATGAAAATGGTATTTACCATTTTGGATTGGTATTTACCGATCCGTTCAAGCGAGTGTGGTTATTAGTTAGGTTATAAGATCCGTGACGTCATGAATCAGCTGTTATATGTTGTCATAGTTATCACAATAAAACTGTGGTATTTACCCAACTCCTGAGTGGTTTTACATTTCTGGTTATTATTTGAAATCTGACAAGTTTTGGCGTTTATTGGATATTTTTGTTGCACTTCAGCTTCATTTTTTGGAAACTTGATACATGCTGACTTCAGTTGTAGCATAAAGTAGATCACCTTATTAGTTATACTCATTACTGTTGTTGGGGATACCTTAAATCTAGTTCCTATGCTTAAAAAAGTATCCTGTGTAGCCATATACCACAAGAATATTAAAATATGGATAATGTCCACCTGTATACGGTTTTGCTAATATCTTTTTTCATCGCTTTTTCCTACCATTTCTGCTAAATCAATAAATTAATGTTTTCTTATCATTAAAAATTTTTTTCTGACGTAAAAACAGTTCTGCCATTAATATTATGAAAGGTTTCTTTTTTAAACTTTCCATACACTGTTGTAGACAAAAAGCACCGATTATTAAGTGATAATAAAAATAATCTGAAATTATATGCGCCTTTTTCTAAAATAAACAACTTGCAACAAAACCGCGGTTAAAACCAACGCGTTCAAGCGATTCAAGTAACTGACGTCATCAAATCGTGTGTCATGTTAAACCATACTATAACCGCGGTACATAACACAGAAATTTTGGTTATTCGCTAGATTTGATTATAATATGTCTACCATTGGTCTCAATGGTAAATGGCGGGAATATTTACCTGTGAAACATGTCTAATAAGTGCGCAGATATACAGCGTTAAAAGCGTATAATATACTAACGTCTGAACATTGACCAATTGAAACTCGATAATAGCGTTTGTTAAGTTATGAATGCACACAATTATACCCTATTTCACGAGTATCCATCACGCTTTGACGTCTACTGAGGTGGACAACTGATCAGCAAGTGACATTTTTGTGTTAGTCTGCAACGTTGGCAATAATGAATCGGGTGTAAATCTAGTAAAACCTGTTTATAGAGGTGTATTTTTTGTATGCAAATAAACTTTTCTAAATAAAAGAGCTGTTAACAAGTACAAAATGAATCTTTCGCCTACGAAAAGTCAAAACAAAATTCAGCTCTGTCTACCTGGCGTTGACGGGTCCATCAGAATTATGTGTCCTGTACCGATTTGGGGAATTTTTGTGATATAACTAGATAATCAGCTGTCATTGTACCGTGATGGATACTCGAGAAGTAGGGTTTATGAAAATCGAATCATGTCACTAGATTATACGGGAAAGAAATGTATGCTATGAACATGCATTGAAAGTTTTGTTGGAACAAATCCGTGCATACATCGAAGTTCATGAAATACACCTCCGCCGTTATTATAATAAGATATCGACAGACTCTCTGGCCAACATTAGTATAGCAATTAAGACCTTTCGAGTAGCTATAGTAAAGAACGTTTCCTCAGCGGCATTGAAATTGGCGACAGGCAAGACGTAACTCTGAATAATCCGTTAACATTTAAACGGCATTTACCTACTAAACGAAGAGGAGCGATTATACAAGAAGTCCAATCAGACAGTGATGAAATATGCAGAAAGCTTTGGCGCTAATAATGCATCATAAAAATATTGTGATATTTGTAATTAATATGATAAAACTTAAATAAAAATATATTATTAATCGGATTGCTTTCTTTCTCTGATCGTATAAATAAATGCCTTCTGGGGTAACGTGATTTTTATATTTTTAAAAACATGTTTATTGTATTTACCACACAAAGAGTGTCTAGAAGCGTTTTCCTATAAAATGTTTAGATGTATAAAACTCACCCTGTATAAACAATTCATAATAGCTTTACAAAAATCAAAATATAACATAGTATTACATATAAAATAAATAAGAGAATCGTATGACCTATACCTCATCAGAAAAATGATTTAACCGAAACATCTGCTTTTCATGATGCCGGAAGCATTACATAAGCATTTTCATCTTGTTTTGCAATCTATATACAAGTCAATAGGAAGTATTTGCTGTTGCAAAATAATTTTCAATCTCTCTTCGGTCTTGAAACAATACCTTCAAACAACGTATATTATTATTTTCACTATCATTATGTCCTGATCTTGATACCACTCTTATAGTCAAAGAGATTGTAAATGGTGTATCAACATATAGATGTCACACGCTGAGCTGTAGCACTCAATAACTCAAAAAATTGGCGTAGGGTAGTTGTGAAGATTTCAGTTTATTGCCCCGATTGGAATTACGATGTTTGTCAACCTTGAAGTACAGCCAGATAAAATGTAGTGGCAGTTTTTCCTAACCTTTGCAAACTATTGAGAAATGCAACCTTATACACTGCAATAAAATGATAGGTAGTCAGAACGGTAATTCAACTTTTTTGTACCCTTTGAATGGCCTTAAAATCCCCTTCAATTACTTTCCTATAGACAAACATCTAATTG